GGGACTCAGACAAGGTCAGAACAGCAGCTACTAGGATCAGAAAACTTACCCAGGGATCCAAATCAGCCTCAAGCTACGCTTCAGAGTTTCGTCAAATCTCTAGTGACCTGGATTGGGGCGAAGCGGCATTAATCGATCAATTTCGAATTGGGCTTAAAAACGATGTGAAAGACCTATTACTTACCATGGAAGATCCTACATCGTTGAACGATGCAATAGCTAAGGCGGTACGCTGCGATAACAGATTGTTTGAGCGACGTCGTGAACGACAAGGTCATAGTTTAGATCGAGGTGATTCAGTATCCAATTATAGTAGATCCAGTTTAACCCCAGAGCCAATGCAAATCGACTCAACAAGGGCAAGAACTCTTTCAGAAGAAGAAAAGCAGAGACGATGGGCCAATAACTTCTGCCTATACTGTGGCGAACCTGGGCATATAGCTAAGAGTTGCCCGAGGAAAAGTATTGCCAAGCATAGGATCGATGCTGTGGAAACAAATTTGGAGAACTCGGGAAAAGAGGAGCCCCAACTGCAGTAAGGGGTCTGTAGTTAGATAGCACTTGTAACAAAGGCCCCAAACAACTAATTCTCGATACTTTAATGGATACTTTTGTTATACCAGTATTCATACAACTTTCGAACAAATCCATGTTGCCCGTCAATGCATTAATAGACTCCGGAGCTTCGGCTTGTTTCCTCGATTATACGTTGGCACACAAATACAACTTACCTATCAATACTAAAAGAACACCGCTGTCAGTAGAAGTAATAGATGGACGAGAAATATCGTCTGGAGCAGTTATACATGAGACCGGGCCATTGCTGCTGTGTTATCAGAACCATTACGAAGAAATCATATTTAACCTGATTCAAACGCCGCACTATCAAGTCATTCTGGGACTACCATGGTTAATCCACCACAACCCTAACATTAATTGGCGTGAGCATACACTAAAATTTCCAGATGCAGATTGTAACCTACATCTTCAATACCCATTGACAAAACAACCAACAACCCACATCAGTACATCAGAAAGAGTCTTCTTGGCTCAAGCTTTCCACGTAGCCTCTGTAAGAGGGGATTCCGTTACCGCTACCCTGACACTCCCAACAAAATATAATGATTTTAGTGATGTATTTGATGAAAAAGAGGCGAATAGGTTACCAGAGCACAGGCCCTATGACTGTGCCATAGACTTAGTACCTGGAAAACAGCCTCCATGGGGGCCTATATATGGACTGTCAGAATTAGAATTAGAAACACTGAAAAAGTATATAGAAGAAAACCTGGACAAAGGAT